GAGGCTGCTGTCTTGAAGGGGCTCGGGCAAGCGCGATCTGCCCCGCCCCCACAGCGTACTCACTTTATTTGTCGGGACATACGATGGAACGTCTGCCACCGGGAAGGCACATTCATGTCACAGTGCACCACCGGCTTGATCTGCAAGGAGACAAAGGAGGCCCAGAAGCCAGGTCAGGCGCACAAACCCTTGGTGGATACCGACATCACACACAGCGCCAGCCCCAAACCCAAGGGAAGGTGGGTCGGCCCCGCTAACAGGGGACCAGGGGAGCTGGGCTCCACGCTGGGCGGAGTCTGGGAGCTGCCGCTGCTGAATCTGGCACATCCTAGAGCCTGCGCTCCACCAGAGAGGACACCTCGATGCGAAGCCCTCACGGCACAACTAGAGAAAAGCTGGCAAGCAACAAAGAGCTCAGCCAAAACTCAACAAATTTGTTAAATTATATATACTCGTATACTACTAGCCACCAAACCAATGCCATGAATATCAACAACTACCATGAACTTGCAGACCCAGTTTGGAAGGAAAAAACAGACATTATCCTCTGCAAAATTATATTAAGATACAGCTACCCTAAGAAGCAGCTCTCTGCTTGACTGCATAAAATTATGGAAACAATGAACTAATTGCTTTTTTATGTGTTAATGATTCATTAACCCCAATATCACCTGCCTGATTCAATGGCTCCAGCAATTAAATACATGATTCTGGACCTTCCCCTCTGTATTCCAGATAATAATCTCCTAACAACTGTCAGGCAAACATGCTTTCCTGTTGTCTGATGGTGGTAACAGTTTCAAGACTCGTGTCAATCATCTGCCCCAAGAGGCAGGATCCAGTGGGCTTTAGAGCTCTTTATTGAAGGCGTGGCTCAGACAGTAAAGAATCTGCCTGCCATGCAGGAGACGCCGTTTCGATCCCCAGGTTGGGAAGAAGAGCCCCTGGAGAAGGAAATGGCAACCCACTCCAGTATTCTGCCTGGAGAATCCCAGGGACAGAGGAGCCTGGAGGGCTACAGTCCAAGGGGTTGCAAAGAGTTGGACATGACTGAGCGACTAACCAGGGTCATCAAACCAGATTTGCATCCCTGATGGAAGAAACTCGAGGCTGCCAAAGCAGCATAGATGGTTTGCTGATGCCAACTCTGAACCAGGCACTGCATTCAGACCTCTATAGGCATTCATGTCTGATCCTCAAAACAACGAGGTGGCAAAGAATCAGAGAGGCTATATAATCTTCCCAAGAACACACAGCTATTAAGTGTCCTGGACATAATAAGCCATAAAAAATATTTTATTATAGGTTTTAGCAAAATGGGGACTTGAACCAATGCTGATATAGCATTTAGGAGCCTTTGTTGAGTCATCCATGACTCCAGGACTTTTTCCATCTCTTTATCACTGTGTGAGCTTGCTCACCTTGTCGCTTTGCTAAGCCTGTCTGTCTGTCTATGCATGCAATGAGGATCACAGCAGTGCATGTGCAGTAAGTCAGACAGAAAAAGAAATATTTCATGATGTTACTTATATGTCAAATCTGAAAAAAATACAAATGAATCTATATACAGAACAGAAACAGACTCACAGACATAGCAAACAAACTTATGGTTGCCAACAGTGAAAGTGGGGGGATGATGAATGAGGAGACTGGGATGAACTGATGCAAGCTACTACACATAAAATAGATAAGCAACAAGGATTTACCATATAATACAGGGAACAATATTCATTCCTTGTAATAACCTATCATGAAAAATAATCTTAAAAAATATGCATAACCGAATCACTTTTTCAATCACATTTGAAACTAACACAATATTGTAAATCAAATATACTTCAATAAAAATACACACAAAAAAATTAGGCCAAAAAAAATAGTTTAAAAAAAAAAGTAGTGCATTGACATAGGTTTGCTCGAGATACCAGTAACACAAAGTGAGTGAATGCATTGTCCAGTGCTCATCAAAGCGCCTGAAGTTCAGAGCTAAGAGCCCAGTCAACAGCAGCAGATCTTATTTGTCTTGTTGCTCTGAAGTCCCTTCTCTCCCCGGCCCCATCCTCTGTAAACACCCTCACAGCCTTCTTCATGCAAAACATCAAACAAAAAGCCCCATAGCTGACCCGTGGTCATGCTCCCCTGGAGGATGGACTTCAACTCAGTTCAGTTCAGTTCAGTCCAGTCGCTCAGTCGTGTCTGACTCTTTGCAACCTCATGGAACGCAGCATCCAAGCCTCACTGTCCATCACCAACTCCCGGAGCTTGCTCAGACCCATGTCCGTCGAGTCGGTGATGCCATCCAACCATCTCGTCCTCTGTCATCCCCTTCTCCTCCTGCCCTCAATCCTTCCCAGCATCAGGGTCTTTTCCAATGAGTCAGCTCTTCACATCAGGTGGCCAAAGTATTGGAGTTTCAGTTTCAACATCAATCCTTCCAATGAACACCCAGGAGTGATCTCCTTTAGGATGGACTGGTTGGATCTCCTTGCAGTCCAAGGGACTGTCAAGAGTCTTCTCCAACACTACAGTTCAAAAGCATCAATTCTTCAGTGCTCAGCTTTCTTTATAGTCCAACTCTCACATCCATATGTGACCACTGGAAAAACCATAGCCTTGACTAGATGGACCTTTGTTGACAAAGTAATGTCTCTGCTTTTTAATATGCTGTCTAGGTTGGTCACAACTTTCCTTCTAAGGAGTAACTGTCTTTTAATGTCATGGCTGCAGTCACCATCTGCAGTGATTTTGGAGCCCCCCAAAATAAAGTCTGTCACTGTTTCCATTGTTTCCCCATCCATTTGCCATGAAGTGATGAGACCAGAAGCCATGATCTTAGTTTTCTGAATGTTGAGTTTTAACCAAGCTTTTTCACTCTCCTCTTTCACTTTCATCAAGAGGCTCTTTAGTTCCTCTTCACCTTCTGCCATAAGGGTGGTGTCATCTGCATATGTGAGGACTTCAGCTTCCCGCTGACAAATAGACTTACAGGTTGGAACTGATGCTCTGAATGACTCCAGGCTTGCTGACTCTGAAATCAAAGAAGCTGCCACAGAGCATCAGATGGCCTGTGGTTCACGCAGCCTGCGGGCTATCTTGGGGAGTCCCTACTGAGAAGCAGGGCCTCAACTAAAACCGACGCTGGGACAGTACCTGCCCCAAATTCTGCCAGGCTGCAGACTCCGGGAGGCCCTCGGCCATGGTTCCACTTATTTAAGCCTTATTTGTGGAGGACCCACCATGGGAGGAACTGTGCTAAGTGTTAGAGATGCAAAGGTGAGCATCACATCTGGCCTCGGAAGTGCTGGGCGCGAGGGGACCCAGGCCACTGACGGGGCGGTCTGGAAAGAAGGGGACAGCACACGCAGCCCTGTGGTGGGGGCTCCGTGGGGGCCAGTGCAGGCCACAGACGGGTGTACACCCTCCTCACAGCGACACAAAGCAGGCTTCCTGGAGGAAGCGGCATCCAGGCTGAGAGCCGAATTACAGGAAGGAGCCGGTCCATCGAGGGTGGGAAGAAATGTTGAATGAGGCTGGGGGAACAGCATATGCTACATCCTGGTGAGAGGACTTCGGGTCCTCGTGGGTACAAGGTCCCTGGGAAACAGAAAGCGCTAGACTAGATCCTGGACTCAGAGGGAGCGGTGGTGAGAGGTGGGGCTGACCGAGAAAACAAGGACCAGGTCAGGGTTAGCAGACTCCATCCCCCGGGATCAAGCAGGCAGGCGTGGAAGGGCCTGAACCAGGGAACCGAGGCGATCAACTTGGAAAGGGAGGCACAGCATGCCGGAAGGCCAGTGGAAGGCATGGGGCTCCCAGGAGCAGCTCCGGTGCCGACAGCAAGAATTGGAGTAACTGAACCGGCTTGAGGGGCGAGGGGAAGGATGGGGCGCGCGGCAGCTGGGAGACGGGAAAACTAAGAACAGCATCTAGGTCTCTGGTTTCAGGAACCGGGTGTACAACTCCACTCTCCGAAAAAGGGAAACAAAGTAACAACTGGGTTTGGAGGAAGAGGTTCAGCTACTGAGGCCGAGCTCCGGAGCCGCGAACTACGGTCCGGTTCGCGAAGCCCATGGGCCCCAGAGCCGGCGCTGCACAGCACGGAGGTGAGACGCCCTCGCCCCAACACGGACCGGGCACAGATGGGGACAGCCCGCTCGGCCACGAAGGCCCTGCAGAGCCAAAACGCATAAATGACAGTTTTTTTTTACTGTTTATTTTTAAAAGTCTTTTTAAAAATCGGAGACTGACGACATTCTCATTAAATCAACATGACACCGTCATCAAAACTCAAGATCCCAAGAGCACTATTTGGAGTCTAATTTTCCTCGCCCCTCCATTGAATGAAATGCAATTCCAGATTCATTAATTGACGCACACGTCATTTCTATGGTTATAGGAGATGTACTACTATGATATTCTAATTAATTTTAAGTAAATTTTTTTGCTAAACTAAGATCTCTTAAGAAGCTTCTTCACTAATTTAATATTTTGACCAGAATGTAAATTCTGTGAAAGCATACTCTACAAAAAGCTCGGCACTCCTACTCTGTTACTGCATCACAAAATAAGGCAGAATAACTTAGTAAAACATATAAACCCTGAATATTTGGACTTGGCCAAAACTTACAGTATAGTGTATTTAGTGTTTTTAACAGTTTGCACTGGTGTTCAAATTGGTAGGCATTCATGGATTTCAAATTCAGATAGGGTGATCTAACTTAAAGTTATTATGAGTAATAATTTCAATGATTTACTGAGTTCTTACAATAGTCCCATCACTATCTCACTTAATCCCTACAACACTCTAAGAGGTATTATTTCAGATCAATATCTATAGGTCTAATTACAGTATGATGTCATAAACCATTCAGCCATTCCTCTATTGATGGACATTCACATGGTTCCCAGGTTTTTTAAATTACAAAAATAACATGAATAAATGCTGCCATAAACATCCTTAAGGCCCAATGTATGCAAGGAGTGAACCGGCTGGAGTGGGTACCAGAGGGGAGCCCAAGGCCTCGACTTCTGACAAGGTCTGGGGAGCTTTCAACACCATGCTCACTTGCAAAGCTACCTCATAGAGGCTGTGAAAACGCTACAGTCCCACCAAGACAAGGATTTACACATCAAACAGCAATAATCAGAGGCGACTTTCAGGGGGTGACGTCTTCCACCAAGGAAGCGGGAACCGGGGGTGCACAGCCTTCTCAGGGGATGCCGTCACGTGCCCTGGAACCTGCACATGCTCTTAAGAGACATGCCGGAAGTCAACACTAAAGAGGCTAAAACTGTGCGCGAAACTCCTCCTCCTTACAAACAATCATGATGGCTCTATCGGGGGCCATCCCAATGCCTGGTGACAATAATGAAAACGCAAAAGGAAGGAAGGTCGGTTGACAGGGAGTGGGTTAAATAATTATGATAGACTCACATAATGAAACATTTTGCAGCCACTAAAAATCATGTTGTAGGAGATCCTTTACTAGGTTAAACTATCATGATACTTAATTAATAAAAAGAAGAAAACAGTGTGTGTTGGTGGATTGCATCTCTTTAAATATATACATACACATATTGTATATACATGTGTGTCTGTGAGGGTAGATAGCAAGATATTTGCTGCTTGTGCAGAGAAAGGCCGCTGGAAACGGACACGACAAAATACACACAGTGCTGATCTGCGGGAGGTGGGACTGTGGGTGGTTTTCGCTTTCCTTGTTGAGCTTTTCTGCACGGCAATTTTGACATTTTTCTCAGCAAGAACGACTTTAAAATCAGATTTTTTTTTAAAATGAAAGAGTGCAAATTTCAAAAGAACAATTACAAAGTTCCCTGAGCAACCACAACCTTGGTGTGAGGGCCTTGGGAATCTAGGCCCTACTTGGAGAAGATGGGGTGGTACCCACATTTCACGCAAGGCTTGTCCTAACATCTCCCATCACAGTGTCCTCAGTCAGAAAACGGGGAACTTTGATGAGATACTCTGGGAAGTCTCCTTCCTGTCCTACAATGCTAAATGTTAACCTGTAATCAAGTCTGATGTTTTTAAATCATTGCAATGTACAAAGGATAAACATAGACTCAAACTTGAACAGTTACTGTCGAGGGGTCCTCTTCAGAACTGGTGTTTAATCCCACTCCGTGCCCCACCTGGAGAAGGAGATTCAGGGACCTAGGGGTTAAGAATGATCACATACCATTTCTTCTCTCTTTACTAAGGTAGCTCTGAAATTCGGTGATTGCCAATTGCTTTCTGGTCAGGAACTTTTCCTCCTGTCCCTGGCAAGTGACAGTCTAAGGTGAGCAAGTAATGCTAATGTGTCTGCAGGCTGGTGCCTTTGGGAAAAGTGAGCACCACTGGACCGCCCTTGATTGGAGCCCTGAGTGGAGTTCAAGGACATTTAGAGGACATGGAGGATGAGAACAGACACATTTAGTACGGGTACAGTATATATATTTCATCATGTAATCTTCATATTACACATTGTCTAACACACATTCTCATCTCCTTTTTACAGAGGAGAGAACTTAATAGCAAAATTACCACGTGTAGAAGCAGATACTCTAAAAACAGCTCACCTTTGAAATACTCTACGAAAGCCCATTTATAAAATAAAGAAGTAAAAATCATCTTGCATTCTAAAAAGCATCAGGCTATCTTGCTCAAACCTGGTGATTTTTGTTGCTCATTAGAAAGGCGGATCTCTTTCAGCTTATATGTGAACTGCGGTTGGTTTGTTTGTTTGCTAAGACCCAAGCGATGTGAGTAGCGTGATGGATGGTTCCATCGTGTAGACCTTTCGAATGTGCTTCAAGCACAAAAATGTTGGGAACATACAGCAAATCTCTAAATTTAACATTATAACATTATAATAAGGAAATGCGACTTAAAATAACTTTTCCTGACACCTGTCTTTCCAAATCCCCAAAACAAAAGAGTTAAAAGGTTTAATGAATGACAGCACACTGCGTCTTATTAACTCGATGGATGGACCTGCTCTCTCCCTAACGGCCATCTTAGAACGTTCTCGCCCACGTCCACCTTCTCAGGGACTGAGGTGCTCTGACAACAGAACAAGCTCACCCAGTGATTTCTGGCTTCAAGAGCAGCCTGCCTTTGTAGGCATTCCCTACAAAAGGCTGTTTCTATGAAACTTCAATTACTCCACACTGACATTTCTGTTTTTACCAAGTCATCCACTTTATCCCATCTTTAGTAGCTGGCAGTGAGCACTTACTTCCTTCAACTTCCCCATCTTTGCAGGTTTTCTGGGAACTATATTAATGTAACTGCAAAAGAAGAAAGAAAAACCTAATTAGAAGGTATATATTTAGATTGAAGATTTGAGCCTCTTTGGAGGTGTCTCCTCTTCGGCATCACAATATCCCACTCCATATCAACTTAAAACTAAAATCTAGAGCACCGTAGATGCCCACATCAACATATGACAGCAATGTCATTGCAGGAAAATGTCCACACTGGCCACGGTTGGCACCACTCAGGAAAACTGTCCTCAAGTGGCATTGCTTTCCCTCACACATTATTTGTCACAGAGGAACCTTGGGAAGGACTCAAAGAGGAAAACTTTAGGGGGTGACTCGTGGCTCTTCCAGGGTCCACTACCGGCCAAGGTCAGGGTGGAGACCTGGATGCCCCACCCAGCTCCCTCACGCCTGCCCTGTCCCGCGTGTCCCATGGAATGTCGTCGTGGACCCCATCCTGCCAAAACCTGATCACTGGAAAGAGCCACAGGAATCAAACGTGTGTGAGCCCCACAGGTACAACTGTTAACAGCCTGGGGACTTCTGAAGAGTCTTCCATATGCCTCAAAGATAGGACAGATGTTCTTAATGATAAAAAAGAATACATTAAAATGTATATGTGTTAAGGCTTCCTTCTGATTTAAAACAATTTTTTACGTGTTTGGGATTGTTCTTGACAATGATTTTAGCCACAGTCAGAGAAAGACTGACTAAGAGTTGGCGGATGGAAGGAAAGACATTTTTAAGCGCTTACGATGCAGTCAGGAGTCACAAGCTCAGACGCCTACGGAGGCAAGTGAACGGTGATGCTTGCAAAGGGTGGTGGTAGGGAAGGGTAGGGTCTGCGGCTAGAGGAGTGAGGGTCCCTCTGAGATGGACGGGGTGCGTAACTCCTGGGCACTATTTTCCTGTGGAAATGCAGGCAACTAAACACTCAGTCCTTTTAAACAATAAAATCCTCTATTTTTTAATGGAAACCGAAATTTCATATTACACGAACACCTCCACGATAAAATGCTGCAGCCAACTCAAACCTTCGAACACTGTGAACTGAAGAAACTGGACATCTTCAAGTCACCACCGTGGCTCGTAGGCCCTTCCACGCACACTTCTGTTCGTCTCCAAAGGGGCGTTTTAGGGTTGAATCCCCAAATTCCATATCTGATGATGAACATTAATCCCCCAAATGACACAACTTATTATCATGAGATGGAAAACAGAAGGTAAAAATAAACATGGGAAAATTAATGCATAAAAAGATTGAACCATCACAAAATGCCATGTATTGTCTCCACATTATCTGCCAAAGAACACCAAAACAGAAAGGAAGAGGGGACAAATGATGCCTCGGAGACCCGGTGGGCCCCGGGGCATTAAGCCAGGTGCCTGGAGGAGGTTTCTGGACGGACCTGGGTTTCCTTGGCCGTGGGGGGCTGGGGAGCAGGAACTTGAAGCAGAGACTATATGCTCGTGTGCAAGGGGCATGGCCCCCTTGCTGCTTCTGGAGAACAAGAGCAAGGCAGAAGCCCACCACGAGGACCACACCAGGCATTTCAAAGTGCTGTGTCCACTGCATCCTCACAACCCACACTGGAGCAGACATCAACAAGCCCTGTTCTACTGATGAGGAGGCAGAGTCTCAGCGAGGCTGTTCAACCAGCTAAGTGCTACCACACAGGGAAACCCAGGACCCTGTCCAGCCCAGGTCTCCCAGCTTGGATACCACACTCCTCCTCCCCTGGTGTGCTGGCTTCTGCACACACTCTTCCCCCTACCCGTCTCCCGCTAGTGCTCAGGTGCACGTGGGGGTTAGGAGACTCGCAGACAGACTGGGGTGCCACCGAGCTGCCAGAGTTGACCAGCATGTTCACTTTTTATCTCAACAACAAACTCCTAGGGTAAACAGGAAAAATTCCTACCATAATTCAGATTCTTTGGGGTCTCCCCAAATACACACACATATACATACACATACATACTCTCTCTCACACACACATTCATACATACATGTACATGCATGTGTGCATGCATAACCATACACACATGCATTGTGTTCACACATGTCTATACATGCACATGCATGTACACAGGCACACATACATGCACACATGCACACGCACGCATTCATGCACGTGTACATACAAGTATGCACACATATGTGCACACATACATGCACAAACACACACATACACAATGCCCTGATCTACATTTTATTGTGAATACAATTTTCTCCACAAATCATTAATTCCAAGAGTTATGGGACATTTATCTTTTAAGTAAGTATTGGCCTACAGTATTTTATTTTATAGAGAAAAAATTCTATTTCTCATCTCAAATTAATTTATTCCAGAGAGTGTAGGAAATGTTTGAATGATGACTGGATTTGGGTAGATTTTACGCTGCTTGTCTTCTCAATGTACCGTTTCACAGCCGTTATTATAAGAAGACCTCCAGGGCGGTTCATATATCATCAGGTTGCACTTCAAAGTTCATCCGCTGGCGGCACAATTAGAAGCTTATTTGCTGGTGGAAATGAATTTTAACCACTCAACGGCTCAGTAAGTACAGAATATACATTCTGACAAGTGCTAGCTCACTGATACCAACATAAATTAAGCCCGAACAGTTTTCAGAGCTTTATTCACCAACATCTGGGTTCCAATTTCATACTTCACTGATCTAAAAGGTAGTGAAGAAGCGAAATCCAAACGCCTCTCTGTATTGAACTCTGCATGCAAACCCCTCCCATCCATTTGACAGCAGTGAAGGTACACGGAAAATGCAAAATAGCACAGGGTCTGCACCACGTGGGAACCCCTCCTCCTCCCCCTGCTCAGTGAACTGATCACCTTCCATTCCCTAGAGAACATAATAATTGACCTTAAGAAACTCAGGAAGAAAAACATCTCAACGTCTTTCTCAATGTTTCTGCCATGAGTCCAAAACATTTTAAATAAGCCCTGACAAATCTCTCCACCAAATGAGAGTCTCCTGCATCTCCTGCACGAGCAGGTAGGTTCTTTACCACTGCATGACCGGGGAAGCCCCAATCCAAATGCTACCTCTCAGCAGCTGTGATGTCTGTGATTTTCCTTCAAATGCAATAGGATGTCAAGTTTGCACATTTGCAGATGCCATTAAGAACTTAGATCACAAGCCAGCTAGCTCACAAAACACCTCTATCTGGGTGGCCCTGAAAAACTCAAGATATTGACAATTTGGAGGGCCCTTCGGAGAGGGAGCATCCCAGGCATGTGGAAGAAGAAAATGGAAATCCACTCCGGAAAATCTCACTTTTATCTCAGGCCTCAAAGGATTTCCTCAAAAAACAAATCCCGTAGAAAAGGAGTCATTTGCCATCAAAACCTAAGTAAACTAACAAGGATAGCAAGGACCACAAGAGAAAACCAGGTGAACTAAGAGAAAACTTTCAAATACTGGGACTGTAGGTACAGATCACAGAAGGACAAGACTTCAATAAAAGGCAAACTTGAAAATACATGCAGGACCCAGAGACTCAAGAGAATGAAATGGAAGCTTTGAAAAAGAACTAGGTAGCATGTTTGGAAATGAAAAATTAAATGATTTAAAATGCAATGAATAGGTCTGATAGCATAGGATACACAGGCAGAAAAATTAATCAGCAGATCTATGTGAAGAAAGTGCCTAGATTACAGCACAAAGTTGAAAGAGAGAGAGAGATGAGAAAGAGGGGGTTTGAGTCAATGAAACAGGCCCACCCACACCCACCCAGATACCGGAAGCAGAAAGAGAAACCAAGGTAGAGGCACCATCTGAAGAGACAGTGGCTACGAACTCCCCCAGAGCTGACGACAGTCACCGTGCCAGGACTCAGGAAAATTCAATAAATCCGCACTTAGACAGACCACTTAATGCACAGTACCCAGAATCAAACAATGTGCATTTCAAAGAGCTAAAAAAAGATAAAACATTACTTTCAAAGAAGCGAATGATGATAGCTGATTTCTCACCAGCAACCACCGAGTTAGAAGACAATGAGAAACGCCTTCCACGGGCCGAAGGACACTGTCCTCCACAGATTCATAACAAAAATACATGAAGAAAAAGGATGAGAAGACCTCGGCTCTGGGAACCGTGGACCAAGAAAGACTGATCGATGTGTCCTCTTCAAAACAAGTAAAACTGGACAAACTAAAAGCATACCTCTGCAACATAACAAGATAGTGAGGGGTTAGCGCAGTCCAGGAAAGAAAGGAAATAGAAAGACAAGAGCCTGATGTCCGGGGCCACTTTGGTTTAGGGGTGGTAGCTGCTGGGAGCAGAGAGCTGAGAGGAAGAACCACAGACAAAAGCGCTGGCTCAGGGCCCGCCAGCCACGGGGTCGTTATGACCCACTCTCCTAGAGAACTGGGACCCCACTGGCTGCACCTGCGCAGTAGAGAGCATCCTGGCTTCCAGACCCCTGGGTGGTCCGAACCTTCCCACACTCTGAAGCTGTGTTAAAGTGCCCATGACCTGGGATGACACCGTTCAACTTATTTCTGCAAATAAGTTTTAAAAGTAAAAAATGTGCAGCACACAGAGATAATGAGGCAGAGGGACAGAGAAGACAGCCTAACAGAGATGCAGCTGTAACAAGAGCCACTGTGGCTTCAGGCTGAACCACTCCTGCCCAGGAGAGCCAGCAGCTAGATCCCCCAGGGATGCCTCACGACACGGATGAAGCTTCCTGCCATGGGAGTGAGTCTGCAAGCACCTGCCCGGGTCAGGCCTTCAGATGTGAGTGCACCAGCATCTTGATTACAAACACATGAGTGTCTCTGAGGCAGAACCACTTGGCTAAGTTGCTCCGGACTTCCTGGCCAGAGGACCTATGAGACAATAAACACTGTTCCCACCAGTAAGCTTGCATGCATGGGACATAGGACATGCAGTAACAGATAACTCACATGCTCTCCGGGAGGAAGTCTCATCCACGTGCACCAGGAGATGGGTAGAAGAATGTGCACAACAGTGTGCTGACTTAGCATGAAATTTGAAACAACACCAAATATCCACCAATGGATTGAATAAATAAGCTGGTATATCAGCCAACAAAATAATACCTAACAGTGAAAATGAATGACTTATACTTACATGCTATTAACATGGATGAGCCTCAGAAGCATATTATTGTGTGAAAAAGCAAATAACAAAATACACAGAGCATAACTGCATTTACATAAAGTATGTAAAACATTGGAAAAAATGTATCCTTCAGGGATAGATTATTATGAAAAGATGATTATCACAAAAGCCAAAATAGAGTTTCCCTGTGGGCAAGGGATGGGAGTGGATGTAGGAGGTTTTGAAAATACTGGTCATTCTCTTTTCCTGAATCCGGGTTGTGGTTCACACAGAGGCTTGCTTTATTACTATTCTTTAAACTACACATAAAATTGCACATACTCCTCTGTACATGAGGCTTCCCAGGAAGCTCAGTAATAAAGAATCTTCCTGACAACACAGGAGATGCCGGAGACACGGGATACGCAGATTCGATCCCTGGGTTGGGAAGATCCCCTGGAGGAGGAAACAGCAACCCACTCCAGTATTCGTGCCTGGAGAATCCCATGAACAGAAGAGCCTGGGGGGCTACAGTGCATGAGGTCGAAAGAGCTGAACACGGCTCAGCAAATGAGCACGCACACACTGCTCTGTATACACGATAAATTTCACAATAAAAGAAATGGCATCAACAGCAAGTAAGAAACAGAAGTGATACCTCTAGAGAGAGACAGGAGATGTGAGTGATGCCGAGGCAGCCCAGGAGTTCACGGAGGACGGACAAACAAGTGCTCTTCTCCCCTCTGCTCTGTAAGGCAGCGCAGGTCACTCAGTCATGTTCGACCCTTGGCAACCCCATGGACTACACAGTCCGTGGAATTCTCCAGGCCAGAATACTGGAGTGGGTAGCCTTCCCCTTCTCCAGGGGATCTTCCCAACCCAGGGATTGAACCTAAGTCTCCTGCATTGCAGGCGGATTCTTTACCAGCTGAGCCGCCAGGGAAGCCCAGGAATACTGGAGTGGGTAGCCTATCCCTTCTCCAGCGGATCTCCCAGACCTAGGAAATGAACCGGGGTCTCCCACATTGCAGGCGGATTCTGCTCTCTAAAGGCAGCCTCTTCTGAGGTCCTGCACCTCGACAGAACTACACCTGTGCCTCTGTCTGCGCAGTCTCCGCTTTCTCTTCTGCGGTTACTTCTGACTGTGCCTCATCTCCCCGAAACACACACTGAAGGGCCCTTGCGGCCTCCCCAGTTCCGCCAGGCTGCCCTCCGGGAAGACGCGCACAGCAGCTTTTGTTAAGGAACTGAAGAAGTCATTGCACTGATGGACATTTGTATAACGTGGTACCCAGAGCTTAGAGAAATGATGAAGACTCTCAGAGCACAGAGACGGGCGTGCTCCTGGAAAGAAAAGTAAGGGTATGAACATAAGTGTGGTGACCCCATTTGCTGAAAGGCCCCACAGGGTGTGCAATACCAGCCCCAGGCTAAACGAAACGGAACTGAATTCACGCTCTGGGTGGGCAGCCACAAGCATCCCGACGGCCTGAACCCGGCCAGCTCCATCAGGGCTTTCCGGGTGGCTGTGGAATTGGTTCGTGGGCCTGCTTGCCCGGGACACCTACATCCTGCGCAGCTGTGGTCCTGACCTCAGCGCTGCGGGGGCAGAGGCCGGAAGGCACATCTGCACTTCCGTGGCTGCCAGGATTTCGGAAATCCCAGGTGCCTGTCCTCGGCAGGGTCTGAATCTAGCAGGCCAGAGGACGGTGAGCGAGCCCACAGCACACTTACGGAGGCGCGCTCATGGAAGGACGCGCGCCCGGGTCCCGCGGACGCCAGTCTGGACGAGTCACGACCCAGCTCTGCGTGCTGCTCCGCTCCGCGTGGCCGACTCCCCTTCTCCCCGCAGAGCTTCACACCTTTCCAAAGAGGCGCGCCCTGGCGCCCTATTTTCACTGCCAGGCCCGCCGCCCCCCTCCGCATCCCCTTCCTAACCCTCTGCGTCACTGATGGTCTGGGGACAGACACCGCCACCCGGCAGACGGTGCGTGGCGCGCCAGGAGTTGGCGCCGGGCGGGCAGAGGCGGCGCGGTTGGGGCCGGGGCGCGCGGGCCGCGGGCACTTACTCCAGCTTCTTGAAGCGCTCGCGCCCAGCCGCCACGTACTTGCCGCCGGCCTGCAGCGAGTCCAGCTCCAGCACCGGGCGCCCGCGCGTCGGCGTGAAGAGGCGCCGCACGCCGAACGGCACCTCCACCTGCTCGGTCAGCTGCTCCAGCAGCGCCTCGAAGGTGGCCACACGGCGCCGCGACAGCAAGAACTTGCGGCCCACGTAGAACTGGTCCCCGTTGCGGTACACCACGATGGTCTTGGCGGGTGTAGTGTCCACCAGCGCGTGCGGCGCGCGCGAGCCCATGGCCGCGCGCCTCCTCTGCCGCCACCCGGCCGCCGCCCGTGCGCTCCAGCCGCCGCCGGGCAGCCCGGCCACCGGGGCGCCGGGTCCACGGTCCCACCACCCGCGCTGACGCCAGTGGCGATTGTGACCGCCGCCCACCTGCCCCGCCGCCCAGGAGAGGGGTGGCCAAGCCGGACAGGGTCGGGTCGCGGGCAGGGCCAGGCCCGGCGATGGGCATCCGAATCCCGGCAGGTGAGGCCCGCAGAGCTCGGGGGCAGGGAGGGAAACACCTGCCACGGTGGGGGGTGGGAAGCCGAGGGTGCCCTGGGCCCCACTGGGACCCTCCCGCTGTTCCTCCACCTCCTGCTCTGCCCAGAGGCGGAGAGGTGGGGGTGGCGGACAGGACCATCAGGACAATTAAAACTGGTCAAGGAGGATGTGCCAGGAACCATCCAGAGCACGTGGGAATCCAGGTGAGCAGGTGCGGCTGGCAGGCGGTGCCTCAAAGGTGTAACCTTCAGAAGGCAGCTTCATGTGCAGCAGGAGCAAGTCAAGGGCCTGGGTGAACTTGGGAAGGTCACGTCCTGTTCCAGGTAAAGGCAGGCCCCACCTCTTCAACCCAGACAGAGAATGCTTGTAGGATTATATTTTTCCAGTGGCTTTGATGGGCTTCAACAAATTTTTCAGGACAGGAGACTATGTATAAAGTGCTAAAGTACCTCCGAAGGTACAGAATACTGATGTTATAAAAATATTAATATCTTGTACTGTTTAAAAAAAGTAATAAAGAAATCCTGCTATTTCACAGCCACCGCCAGTTTTTGAACTACCAAGTGTTTCATGAGTGAGTGGTACCCGACTCTGGTCTAATGGACTGTAGTCCGCCAGGCACCTCTGTCCATGGGATTTCCTAGGCAAGCATCCTGGAGTGGGTTGCCATGCCCTCCTCCAGGGGATCTTTCTGACCCAGGGGGCCAACTGCCAAGCACTCCATAGTGACATTAAATGCAGATACCCGTGTGTGAGGGTGACCACTTTATTAAATCATCAGGAATCATATTGACCTTCAAAACACTAATTGCTAGAAACTTAAGTTTCATGTGTTGAACACACTTCAGAAGAAGAGTCTGAGTCACTGTACAGTCGCCGGGGTTTTGTGGGTTAGAGGTTCGCCCTGAAGCCCGCCTTCACCGAGAACCTCATCACGGGCTTCTTGCCGGGCCGCAGGAGGCAGATAGAGCTGGGGAAGCCCTTGGGCGGGAGGCGACTCACGCCCCCGTCGGGGGTGATGGTGAGCTTGGCGTGGGTGATGACGTCCTGCAGTTCGGGGGTCAGGCTGTCCAGCACATGCATCTCATCGGGCTTCAGCTGGAAAGAGAGGGGAGGCGGAGATCCTTGTAATGACCAGGGGGCTGACTCTCCCAAGGCCACCCATCCGCTTGGACTCTGAGCCTTAAAAGGTGAAAAGTTGTTCCATGATAATAATTCGGCTCGCCCTAGCAATCTGCTTTTGGGGACAGGATGCCCTAAGGAGACCGGCATGAATACTCAGGTCCCCGTGATGTTTCTTTCTGATAGTTAAGTAAGTGGACAAACTGATGAGAAAAAGAAAGCAGAAAGGGGGCCCGTGGGAGTGTTCACCCCTCACTAAGGGGAGCAGCACTCACTCCCATCTCCGACCCGAAAATGACCATGTCCCTCCTGCATGATCCAGGGAAATGCTCTGGATCACCTCAGCATCCATCCCATGGCTGGCCACACCCTGGTGGCCGTAAATATGCTAGCCGCCCCACCTAGAGAGTCAGTACAATGTAGAAACATTTCTCCATGTATGCATGCTTGAACAAGGTGGTCTAAAAAGCAATTTGAGAGTTAGATTATGCAAACATGTGAAACGAGAGATCCCGTGATTTTATAATATAAAGGGGCAGAGACAGTTTTTAAAATCTCATTTATCACACTGTTAAACCGAGCAGAAGCTTTGGGGTGGAGCTGTGACCCTCTGAAACCCGGCCTCGGCTGAAGCAGCCCGCGGGAGGGCTGCCTGCGTGGCCCCAAGGGATCGGACACCACACTACCTTTGTGACCGGAGGCAGTGGCTTCCACTTATGGCCCGGAAGGTCCCACTTCTGCCTGACCATGTCTTCCTCCTCCTGCGTCGTCAGGATGCAGCCGTCCACCTTGCAGCTCTCCGGAGAATTACCTGTCAGAACAAGACAAAGGCGTCTTTTCCACTCTGTCTGCACCCAGTGCAGTTTGGTTTATGGAATACTGACCTTTTTAATCAGATCAAAAAGCCCAGCAAAAAGTGAGCATGGGTGAGGTGAGTGTGCTTCTGGGGTGCATGAAGAGGACATCCCAATGACTGTTTCTGTTTCTTTAATATATGTGCACGTGTGAATACACGTGTGTGCACATGTGTGCATGTGTGTGTACACACGTGTGTGGATGTGTGTATTAGGCCTGGTATGTTTGATGTTATAACTGGATGCCAGCTTGTTCCCGATCCCCATGCCCATCATCCCTGGCTGACAGATATCCAAGGCCAGTAGCAGGGCATCCATGCCATGCTGCAGTTTGGGGTCCCTGGCTACATGGATTTGCTGCTTATTACCCTGGTTTTGACTAAACTGTCCCTCACAAAAATAAACAAGTGACTTTAAACTACCACACAGAGAACCATGAATTAAATATACCACTAGAGATGATTTGTGGACATCCATAAACAGCAAAAGAAATAACAGAACTGACATTCCTGCTGACCGTCAGGAGCCGCCCTTGGTCAGTCATGTTGAAAGGTGGAAACAGTGACCACTAATCAGATCTAAACCACAGGAGTCTTCCCAACAGGAGTTCAAATTATCAAGACCCCTTGAAACCGTTTACATCCACCCATTGAGGATGAACTTCACCTTAAATATATGCCGACCCTTGATGAAACAGTTAATAGTTGAGTGAGGTCATAATGATTCACAAGACATTTAAAAATCAAGCATCCAGTGTATGAATACAATCTGCTGTATTTATTCAAAGACAGCCAAAGAATCATGAGACACCCACCATAGTACTTGGCAAAACTTCACTTAACGATTATAAAAGTTTAGTAACCTCTTTTGAACTTAATATAATGGACCATGTATCTATCTCATAAGAAAGTAAATATGGAATATTAAGGGTGCTTTTCCAAATATTATTTTATTAAAGGAAGGCCATGATTTTTAAAATGTGTGTAGATCACTGCCCAGAGAAGAAATAGTCACCAAGCTGCTTGCGATCCCTCCCCTGAGAAGATACCCACACCTTGTTCTTTCGATGTCCTAACCAGGAAGTGTTTCATAGGCTTTTTCACATGGAGTTCAGGGACCTTGTGGTGAAGAGCCTTAGTGCCTCATAGAATCTCATGACTTTTGTAGTCGAGTGCACATCCAATGCTTTATAAAGAGAGAAGCAGAGTGCAAAGGGTTAAGATAACATGCTTGAAGCTACACAACTGTGAGCGGAAAGCCAGGCCCACAGCCCGCTGCCCTGAGTCCCTCTCCTGCTGCAGCCCGCTGTCTTTATTCTTTTTCATAGTTTTTATTTATTTATTTGGCTGCATCGGGCCTTAGTTGCGGCATGGAGCCCGCTGCCTTTATGATCAGCACATCAATTATAAGCAGTTTCTTAGTGGCATCACATTTACCTTTGAAATACTTTGTATCAATTTCAATTTGAGCTATTACTCCAGGATGAGCCAATCAGAAAAATGCCCACTCACAGCCTGGAACCAGGAGAATACCGTTCTCATCATTCTGGAATTCAAAAGGGGGAAAAAACAACACAAGTCAGCTTGCTGTCATTCAAGACACCAATCCTGAAAGCCAGCAAGCGACAATGTTGGCACATACTTGTCATTTCCTGCTATAAAAGAGTAGGGCATCCCTGGTGATTCAGAAGGTAAAGAATCTGCCTGCGATGCAGGAGACCAGGGTTCAGTCCCTGGGGCGGGAAGATCCCCTGGAGGAGAGCATGGCAACCCTCTCCAGTATTCTTGCTGGGGTAATTCCGTGGACAGAGGAGCCTGGTGGGGTCACAAAGAGTCAGACATGACCGAGTGACTAACACTTTCACTTTTCACTATAAAAGAATACCTACTTTCTGTGATCTGGTGTAAGTTGCTTCTTGCGTAATAAAGCGTCTCTCTACTGTCACTCTGTAAACGCCTGATGCCGACTCGGGTTAATCGGGTGCTTGGTAAATTTTGATGAATTTCTGATATGATCATGTATGTCAGTTATAAATTCAGGTGGGCTTCCCAGGTGGCGCTAGTGGTACAGAACCCACCTGCCAATGCAGGAGACTTAGGAGACGGGAGTTCAATCCCTGGGTCAGGAAGATCCCCTGGAGGGGAGAGCATGGCAACCCGCTCCAGTATTCTTGCCTGGGAAATCCCATGGACAGAGTGGCCTGGCGGGCTACAGTCCACAGGATCGCAAAAAGCTGGACATGACTTAGCACGCATGCACGTGAATTCAGGTAGGATGCTGTACACCAAAGGATGTTTATCTAACCCAACCAAGAGCTCCTGTGGTTGGTTGGTTTTGACTTTTCAAAGTAGATATGTCTTTGACCAAATCTATACCAATATATGACTTGCCTCCAAACACAAATTTCTAGTGAGGAGACTTTGTTTATATTTGGAAGCATTGGGTGATACAAACCCATGAAAGGTATGTTTACAATTAAGTTATTATAATTTGTATAATATATATATTATAAATAAGTTATAAATTAAACTATAATTTGTGATATGACTTACACACTGAAAGTTGTTTTCTTTCGTTTTTTTACTTCCTTATCTTGAGTTAGTTACTGGCCAAATTAGACAGCTGAGCCATCACACGATCACGGAAGTGGTCTCACCCAACGGTACGCAAAAATCAAAGATGATGAAATAGTGGTTGTTTTCCTCTAGATCAACAAATTTACTCATGGGTTTTTATTAAATTTAGATGCTCTAGTTTTTATATTTAAAAAGGGAT